TGGGCAGAGTTTCTTTCACCCTATGCCCCTGTTACCTAGCAGTAAAATAGGTACCTGGATGTTAGTCAGCTGTCACGGGCTGCTTCCTGGGGGTGGAGGCCTGGTCGAGGACCGGGCCGCGGGGACACTAAAGCCCCGAAATCCTCTCAAGATAACCTCAAGATAGGTAAGGTAAGGCAAAATTTACATATAAATAAATATCGACTTTTAAATTCACAATAAGTTAAGACAAATAAAAGAGGGGGTCGGCGGCTGGGTGGAATGATTTATATACAAGATTTAAAAGGCAAATTAACCCATATTATATACTCAAAACAAACAACACTGCGATATACGTACACATATATTGAATGTTTATTTGTTTTAAATTATGATTTAATTGACTTTAATGTTTCTATGTAAATTATTGTGATTTGCGGCAAGCATGTCAGTGTTTATATAGATTCATTGTAACCAAAAATTATACCACTCGTAATAAATTCTAAAAGCTATATATATATATATATATATATATATATATATATATATATATATATATATATATATATATATATATATATATATATATATATATATATATATATATATATATATATATGTCGTACCTAGTAGCCAGAACTCACTTTTCAGCCTACAATGCAAGGCCCGATTTGCCTAATAAGCCAAGTTTTCATGAATTAATATATTTTCTCTATTTTTTTCTTATGAAATGATAAAGCTACCCATTTCATTATGTAAGAGGTCAATTTTTTTTATTGGAGTTAAAATTAACGTAGATATATGACCGAACCTAACCAACCCTACCTAACCTAACCTAACCTATCTTTATAGGTTAGGTTAGGTTAGGTAGCCGAAAAGTTAGGTTAGGTTAGGTTAGGTAGGTTAGGTAGTCGAAAAGCAATTAATTCATGAAAACTTGGCTTATTAGGCAAATCGGGCCTTGCATAGTAGGCTCAGAAGTGAGTTCTGGCTACTAGGTACGACATATATATATATATATATATATATATATATATATATATATATATATATATATATATATATATATATATATATATATATATATATATATAGTAAATGCCAGATGTATAATAGATTCTCTCTGATACGTATAGACAAGGGTGGTTGTTCCTCTTAACTAATACGTCTTATTTTATACGTTTCGGACCCCTCCCCCCCCCAACGTGTATATTACAAAGTATTATGAAAAACAGCCGCTCACAAATATCCCCGTTTTCCATGAACTGGTAAGTTTAGGTTAGGTTAGGTTAGATGGCTTGGGTTCGAACGCTTGTGGATAAGTTAATCCGTTGTATTTTGAACGTCTTAAAATGGACGAATGCGGCCGCAGAGCTAACTAGCCTTAGCCTGAGGATAGCTTGTTGGCTAGCCACTATACTCTCTCCAGCAATTACCTGGCTATAGCGTCCATCCCCATATAACAATAATTATTTTAATTTGCTATGCCCATTCTACTATTTTCTCAGAAAATGGGAAATACATCACATGAGATCAAGAGAGAACGAGGTGGGTGACGATAGCATTCTGTTGCTCCCACTTGGGGGGGAAAAAAAGAAGTCAAATCGTTTTAGACAGGAGACGTCAGTTAACCCCCGGCTGCCATACAGAGAGGACCACTCCTTGTTGACTTGTATTTGTGTTATAACCGGTGAACTACGCTACTGTGTTCAAATCTCCGGTATTGAACTCTGTTTGGTGTTAACTTCTACGGTGATGAACTCCGTTACCAATAATTCTGAATGGATACGTGGACATTGAATCTACCCCGCGCCCGTAACAACGCAGCGCCTCGTTAGTTCATGCAGGTGAGAGGCCAGTTGTAAACTCAGACCTGCAGTAGTTAGGTATTTGTAAGTAGCTGGTATACGCGAAATAATGGACGCGTAGTAGTCGCGAACTAGACGCGAAGTAGTCGCGAACTAGACGCGAAGTAGCTAGTGTATGTGAACTAATTCGGGTTCAACGGTTTAATAAACATTCATTTACTCGTTGACAACCATCCTACTCACGATATCAATTATCATAACAGTCGAGTTATCGCGGTGATAACAATATATATATATATATCAGCTCTCATACCTCACTATATCTATATACAAAATCCGTTGATCTGAATGGAAAGGAAATATAATCGCCGTTTTTTGAGCTGAAATATGATGTATTTCCCATTTTCTGAGAAATTAGTAGAATGGGCATAAGAAATGAAAATAGTAATTGTTATATGTGGATGGCCGCTATAGCCGGGTAATTGCTGGAGCCAGCCAACCACCCGTCCTCAGGCCAGGGCTCGTTAGATCTGCGGCCGAATTCATCCATTTTAAGACGCATTCATCAATTTTAAGACGCGTTTATCAATTTTAAGACACATTCATCAATTTTAAGACACATTCATCAATTTTAAGACGCATTCATCAATTTTAAGACGCGTTTATCACTTTTAAGACGCATTCATCCATTTTAAACGCATTCGCCAATTTTAAGACGCATTCATCAATTTTAAGACACATCAATTTTTATAACGTATTCACCAATTTTATGACGAATTCACCAATTTTAATACGAATTCATCAATTTTAATACGAATTTATCAATTTTAAGACGCATTCATCAATTTTAATACGAATTCATCAATTTTAAGACGCATTCATCAATTTTAACATTGTGTAACAAAATAGGTTTGTTCTCATTTCTATGTTACTATTATACAGAATATTAAAGTTCTAAGTATAATTAGGCGTAGGTTAAATTAGGTTAGACGTTTAGGATTTTATTGGCGCATTTGAAGTACGTGGGTGAAGCATTTACCGCGTTGTGGTTCGAACAGAGGTCGATCGTCAGCGAAGCACTGTTGGAGAAATGTTCGAACGTCATCAGTAGCGAGTCTGGCGTAAACAGTTTTTCAGTCATAAACAAAGGGGGGTTTAACCGGCTGGTTTAACAACGAGCATTTGGCCTTTGTTTATGAGGACGGGCTGCAAACTAGGGATCCAGTTGGGTGTCGACTCTTCTGTGTTCACTTGAACCTAACCAGGACCTGCTGGTTGGTCAACCCGTCCTCGACTCAAGTCCATTACATTCAGCGGTCAACCCCACAGACGCATTCATAAATTTTAACATGCTGTTCATTCAAAACGGGAATTTTCTCAAGTATAAATTAATATTATAATATATTAGCATATTGTGTATATATAGGCATAGGTTAGGTTAGGTGTTTAGGTTCTGTTGGCGATTATTTGTATTTGTAGTACGTGGGTGAAGCATTTATAGCGTTGTGATTCGAACAAAATTCGTCAGTGAAACACTTGTTCCGGATATGTTCGAACGTCAGCAGTTGTGAGTCGTGTGTAAACCGCTTTTCATTCATAAACAGGGGGTTTGGCGGGTGCATGGAATCACTTTTGGATCTTTGTTTGGAGGACGGGTTGAACCAGGACTGACCTGCTGGTTGGTTCAGTCAGGCTTCGAGGAACCTGCTGGTCGGGTGAACCAGGCTTCAGTGAACCCCCTTGGGACGGTGGTTCATTGACTCCTGTTTCCACGTACATTGTACTCAAAGCGTCCGGCACGATGCAAATCCGCATTTTAATGATTAACATTTTCTTTAAAATAATGTCGAATAAGATCATTAATAATGTTAATATGTTGTCAGGAACTATAATAACAGCGTTAGAAACTTCAATGCATAAAGATAACTCGCGATGATTCACATGGTAGTTTATAAATAATATTACAAATTTCGCAAAGTATTTTAACTATGTAGTGAGGAAATTACTCGGGGGGGGGGGGGGGGGACACACTTTGGTCCTAAGGGGGAGGAGGAGGAGCGGGGGGGGGGGGGGTTGGAGGAAATAGTTATGTACCTGTTAGGAATGAATTAGTGTAACGTTGACAAGACAACAGGTGTAGGCCACAAGCGTGTGGATCTTTTAACGGAACACACATGTGAGAAATAGCAACATGTGTATGTAGTTATCTTACATATGTGTCTACGCTGGCGTTATGTGTGTGTGAGTTAAAGGGGGCAGTTACAAGCCTCAAGATGCACCAGCGGTCATTCACATTGAATTGCGAATAAACCATATGACGAAGGGGTGGTGTTTACTGCAAATTAATTATTTTCATATAGATCTTAATGAATGCTATATGTGGGGGGTCGACACTTCCCTGAATCTCTAAACTTTATTAATCGCTCTGATAGTGCAGCTCGTCCTCTAAACTAGTACATCGTCCTCATTTTGTACGAGGGCGACATCAGAGCGGCGAGATGTCACCAGCGGAGTACCACAGGGCACTGTACTGGGACCAACCCTGTTTCTGATATATGTAGACGATCTTCCAGAGGGTATAGACTCGTTGCAAAAATGATGATTGACTATAGAGAGGCGGGACCAAAAAACCAAAGCTCAACCCTCCACAAGCACACCTAGGTGAGTTAACACACACCACTAAACAACTTGTATACATTATATCTTGAGGTTCAAACAGCTGAGCATCGGGAGAAGAAGAAGAAGATCCAGTCGCCATCAGACAGTGTTGAACCCGCCTTCACTCCGATACGCTGTTGTTTATGGCTGCGTTATCTTCCAGTTATTTATTGTCTGCCCCGAGACGCAGTTCTTGAATATAATTTATAAACATTGTAATGTCTTCATATCTGTTCCTTTTAACGTTTAAGATTTTCTCTTTACATGTTCGAATGCGATTTATAATCTTCAGGTTTTTGTTTGAAAATTCACTTCAAAATTTAAATTTAAAAATTTAAATTCACTTCATGATATTTCACTTGATGTTAAGGCTGTTTAAATTTACTCAATAATTGTTTTCATGTCGTGTGGCATTTTTGTTTCGAATTAAGAAAAAAATACGAAAAAAACCGAACACAAAAGATATATATATATATATACGAGCCACGAAGCTAGTTTATCACAAATAATAGATTAAGATATTTAAAGTTGGATAAAAATCTCCACGCTGTCAGATCAGAGGGCGTGTGTGAACCCTGCAGTCGCCAGGGTTGAAGGAAGCCCTTGGTGGAAGCTCTTGGTGGAAGCCCTTGGTGGAAGCCCTTGGTGGAAGCCCTTGGTGGAAGCCCTTGGTGGAAGCCCTTGGTGGACGCCCTTGCTGGAAGCCCTTGGTGGAAGCTCTTGGTGGAAGCCCTTGGTGGAGACTTGGTGGAAGCCCTTGGTGGAAGCTCTTGGTGGAAGCCCTTGGTGGAGACTCTTGGTGGAAGCCCTTGGTGGAAGCCCTTGTTGGAAGCCCTTGCTGGAGGCTCTTGGTGGACGCCCTTGGTGGACGCCCTTGCTGGAAGCCCTTGGTGGAAGCTCTTGGTGGAAGCCCTTGGTGGAAGCTCTTGGTGGAAGCCCTTGGTGGAAGCTCTTGGTGGAAGCCCTTGGTGGAAGCTCTTGGTGGAAGCCCTTGGTGGAAGCCCTTGGTGGAAGCTCTTGGTGGAAGCCCTTGGTGGAAGCTCTTGGTGGAAGCCCTTGGTGGAAGCTCTTGGTGGAAGCCCTTGCTGGAAGCCCTTGCTGGAAGTCCTTGCTGGAAGCTCTTGCTGGAAGCCCTTGGTAGAAGCCCTTGCTGGAAGCCCTTGCTGGAAACCCCTGTTGGAAGCCCCTACTGGAAGCTCCTGCTGAAAGCCCTTGCTGGAAGCCCCTATTGGAAGCCCCTACTGGAAGCCCCTGCTGGAAGCCCTTGCTGGAAACCCCTGCTGGAAGCTTTTGCTGGAAGCCCCTGCTGGAAACCCCTGCTGGAAACTCTTGCTGGAAGCCCTTGCTGGAAGCCCCTGCTGGAAACCCTTGCTGGAAGCCCTTGCTGGAAGCCCCTGCTGGAAGCCCTTGCTGGAAGCCCCTATTGGAAACCCCTTGCTGGAAGCCCTTGCTGGAAGCTTACACATACTGCGAATACTGAACCAACAAGCAAGGTCTTACTGATGATACTAAAAGCAAACTGAAACCCTGGTCGCTTACTCTCATATACCAGCCCGTCCTCCTAAGGTTTACCCCCAACGTCAAGAAACGGTCGTATTAAAATGCCCTTATCCTAACCCACCAGAGGACCCAAAACAGAAAACGGGACAGTACGTCACTTTGGCCAGCCGCGACCATTTTCAAATACGACGATTTTTGTCGGCCTTAGGTAGAGTGTACGTCAAAATGCGACGTTCTATTAGGAGCTCGGATTGGTTATATAGAGCAATTGATTGGAACCTAAGAACTAATAGAAGCCTTGAAAACCTACGAACGTGGGGATAATTATAAAATTTGGGGAGAGATAGGAGTAGGTAAAGTATTGGAGGTGGGTTGTATTATGCAGGGCATCTGCTACTTTATTGATACCATGAGCTACTTTATTGATACCATGAGCCACCTTATTCATACCCCAAGGTGAACCTATACTAATCTCTCCACGACAATTGTCTTACTTCCCATTGTACCTATTTACTGCCTGGTGAACATAGGCCATTAGGTGAAAGGAAACAGTGCCCAGCCACTTCTGTCCTACCCGGAATTCCGGATTGCGAGTCGAGAACGACCCCTCAACCAATTGCACTACCGAGACCCCCTAATTATATATATGGGTAATCCCACACTAATGCTCTGACTGGTACTCAGCCTCTCTTAACTGATCGCTTTCATTAACTGTAGGATGTCGGAAGCTCCATCAAGATGTCGAGAGAGACTGGTGGTGGTGGTGGAAGGGGGCCCTAAGCCGGGGCCCAGACGTGACAAGACTTTTACCTCATTTCCATCATTCATTTTGGTATTACAGCCTTCAAGTCTTTTTCATTGTTTTAAGCTACAATAATAAGACAGGTGCGGTTATGAGCTGCTTCTGTAGCTTGATTGATGAGGGATATTAGCTGTGGTTGATTCGAATTGGTGTGAATTTGTATACTGGTCCACGAAGAGCTCCAGCATCAAGAGAGGGGCGAGAAAATTAATAATAAAAAAGGGACCTAAAGAGGGACCATGAAACTATTTTCATGTAACCTCTTTAGGTCCTTAGCGGTGACGGTGATGAATTGCATCTCGTTAATTGACGCTACTGTCCCAGAAGCTTGTAATATTATGGACAATGTCTGCAAAAAGTGGAGTGACTTGGTCATTTGTCTCAAATTTACTCTTGTGTGAGTAAATGGAGCGTGGAGTGGGCCTTGGGAGTCCCAGAACGTTGTTGTTGTTATAGATTCAGCTACTCAGAACAAAAAGTTCCAAGTAGCACGGGCTATGGTAAGCCCCGTAATCCCTGAACGTCTCCTGCAGCTTGTATATACCCCCTACAGAAGAAGGAATATATATATATATATATATATATATATATATATATATATATATATATATATATATATATATATATAATATATATATATATATATATATATATGTCGTACCTAGTAGCCAGAACTCACTTCTCAGCCTACTATGCAAGGCCCGATTTGCCTAATAAGCCAAGTTTTCATGAATTAATTGTTTTTCGACAACCTAACCTACCTAACCTAACCTAACCTAACCTAACTTTTTCGGCTACCTAACCTAACCTCACCTATAAAGATAGGTTAGGTTAGGTTAGGTAGGGTTGGTTTGGTTCGGTCATATATCTACGTTAATTTTAACTCCAATAAAAAAAAATTGACCTTATACATAATGAAATGGGTAGCTTTATCATTTCATAAGAAAAAAATTAGAGAAAATATATTAATGCAGGAAAACTTGGCTTATTAGGCAAATCGGGCCTTGCATAGCAGGCTGAGAAGTGCGTTCTGGCTACTAGGTACGACATATATATATATATATAATATATATATATATGTATACAGAGAAGTGTATCCCGCTTCTCGGTGTATATACACCGTGAGTTTACTAATGCAATAACAGTAAATAAGTGTGACCTCAGCCTCACACAAACGTGGAGGGTCCAAGGTTCGAGTCTCCTAGAACCCAGATGAATGGAATTTACTAATAGACTATGTTCAGAACGGAAGTCTTCCTGCTGGCTGGTCAGTACAATGTATTGTGGGACCAAAATAATAACCTTCCATACTGTAGGTTGGATCCATGTTAAGCTCAGCACGAAAAACCACTCAGAACGTAGAGGTTCCTCCACCAATAGACGAAGGACAGGATCTCTTAAACCTTCCTCAAGTTAAGGGACCTAAATCCATTCATTCCATATAGACGTCGTCCCTTCACCTATTATTTTCTTTTATGAAAGGTACTTTGCAGGTTAGTATGGTAGCGAGGTACCAGATATTGCTTCACTATGTGTACCTATAACGTATTTAACTAATAATTGTCTCTGTAACAAACCCAAGCAGCTACTCTAAAGATAGTGTTAAATCCCTTGTTTTAACAATATATTTGGGTTGAGGTTTTTGGTAGATATTTTTAAATAAGGTATTATATATTATATATTATATATTATAAAACAAACTCGTTTAATTTTAATGGGGAGACAGTCATTGTTATTGAAAGTAGTCGTTTACAGGCGGGTTTTTCAGGGAGGGGGAAAATATATATATATATATATATATATATATTATATATATATATATATATATATATATATATATATATATATATATATATATATACATATATATATATATATATTATTTGATTACCCATAACCTGAGCGACTATGGTGGGCGACGGAATACCAATACGGACTTCCAAAAAGACCAGAAAGAGAGAGAGAGAGAGGGGGAAAAAAAGAAGAGTTAACTCTTACATTCCTGATTATTTAACAAAGGGCTCTTCCCCCTTTCTCCAGGAAGACATTCTCCCCCAAGTATACTACAAGAGGATTCAACACTATGTTAGTCTACAGGAGCCTTCGACACTACATCACCACACCCCTGAAACCTCTCGTAATACTCTCTCAATATACTTGCAACCTGACGTCTAGGCTGATATAATCCAGTAGGCTCCAGTAGGATACAATAGCAGTCCTAATACGAGCTCCACTACAGGGGTCCACCAGCTCCACTAAAGGCTTCATTGCTCCAACAAGTGTTTAGTCTGCTCACTATAAAAAAAAATTATGTTTCCTGTCCACACCAAGAGTTTATCTACTCTGCAAGGAGCCATATGTATGCTTATTCAGGGTTATATTCACTCTGACAGGTTTCCTGCTTGCTTCAGCGAGGCCCTCACTTGCTACACTTAAACCTTACTCGCTACACTCAGTCTCACTCGACACACTTAACCTCACTCGCTACACTTAAGTTACTTATTGTTTCACCATAGTGGGGGGAGGGGTTGCTGGTCCACTATGGGAGGTTTAGCTGCTCCACCATGGGAGGGAGGGAGGGAGGAAAGGGCTGGTGCAGGCGATAAGTCACAATAACGTGGCTAAAGTATGTTGACCAGATCACACAATAGAAGGTGAAGGGACGACGACGTTTCGGTCGTCGTCCCTTCACCTTCTAGTGTGTGGTCTGGTCACCGAAGGGGCTGGTGTTTACTGCCTCAAGAAAGATATTGTTTATAATACCAAAACTCAATATATTCGTATTCGTTTCATAAAGAATGCATCAGAGATATATATATATATATTCCAAATTTCCTAGCCGTAATCCTGTTCAATTTTGGCATCCTTTGTCCCAGGACAACATTTTCACCAATTATTCCAATTCATCTCCACCATTCCTATTTCATTTCCTCTCCTAACCTGACATCTATACCCATTTAGATGGGTATAGTCTCCGTGGTGTAGTGGTAAGACACTCGCCTGGCGTTCCGCGAGCGCTATGTCATGGGTTCGTATCCTGGCCGGGGAGGATTTACTGGGAGCAATTCCTTAACTGTAGCCTCTGTTTAACGCAACAGTAAAATGTGTACTTGGATGATAAAACGATTCTTCGCGGCAGGGGATCGTATTCCAGGGACCATAGGATTAAGGACCTGCCCGAAACGCTACGCGTACTAGTGGCTGTACAAGAATGTAACAACTCTTGTATATATCTCAAAAAAAAAAAAAAAAAAAAAAAAAAATTCATCCCATTCTTTTGTTCTCGACATCGCGAAGCATCTCTGTCAACGGTTCGCATCTTCACGTCACCGCAGTATCCTCTCCCGTCTCGGGAACTGTCTCCTTCCGTCTCTCGTGCGTAGGCTGATATACCGTCTAAACATTAGATGGCATGTCGTCAAAATACGGCGTTTTTATTAACGAAAACTTATTAGCGGTTCGCGAAATTGACATACTGCCCCGTTTTCTGTTTTGGGTCCTCTGGTTTGGTTAGGATAAAGGGGGGTACGTTAGTAGGACAGTTTCTTGACGTTGGGGAAAACCTCAGGAGGACAGACTGCTTCATCAACCTCGCCCCTTTCAACTCCCCCCACCCCCCGCCCCCCCCCCTCTTCTGTCCCCGTCAATCTTGACCTACTTAAGATGATGCTAAGCTTATAATTGTCCATTAATATTTGAAAGAAGTGAACTTTATCGTTCTCTTCCTCTGATTGCATGAGTTATTTTTTTCTTCTTTTTTTTGCTGCTGGTTCCCCCCCCTTGTTGTAATTGTTGTGTTTGCTCGTTACCGTGATGGGTGATTGGTAACGGTAATAGAGTTTATATATTATGTTATATACCTGGTTGATACCTGGTTGATGGGGTTCTGGGATTTCTTCTACTCCCCAAGCCCGGCCCGAGGCCAGGCTCGACTTGTGAGAGTTTGGTCCACCAGGCTGTTGCTTGGAGCGGCCCGCAGGCCCACATACCCACCACAGCCCGGTTGGTCCGGCACTCCTTGGAGGATATGATTATATTACAATAATACAATACTTATTGTATGAAATACTTGTGCGGGCGATGAGTCACAATAACGTGGCTAAAGTAAGTTGACCAGACCACATACTAGAATGTGAAGGGACGACGAC